CCTTGGTTCTGTGAAGTTCATCCTTGACATGAATGACATTGTTGCCTCAGTTTTCCTTTGCAATATACGTTTTTATAATGATGATATCATACTTTACTGTAATGTGGATATTTATACATTCTGTGGAAAACGCCCTTCATGATTTTCACAAGAGCCAAAAACATTGCTTCTGACAATCTTGCCATCTCGACTCTGTATGGTACAAGTATTGAAAGAGTTAACAAGTACGAATATTTTGGCATTTAGGCAAATGAATAAGTCACTTTTAAATATGTGGCTGCAATGGTGACTAAATTATATCAGAAAATTGGCTATTTTTACAGAAACTTATATTTCCCACTGCACAAGTTACACTTATTAAAGCAACATTTTTTATCAGTCCTGGATTATGGTGACATATTATACATGCATGCATCAGCAGCAACTTTTTAGTCCTTGGGTGAGTTTATAAAACGACACTAAGGAAAATGAAAAGGGAAAGTGTGGTTCCCAGATTTAGTTTGGTCAAAGGTTGCAGAGAAGATGGATGAATACCTTTTGTAGAATGCTGGATCTAGCTTTAAAAAATATACATTAAATAAAAATTTGATAAATTGAAAATGTTGTGACAGGCGACCCTAAAAGGCCATCCCAGTTTGTAGTAACATATCTGTCTGGTTTAGCACTAGCAGAAATTTTCTGGTGAAGTTAATTAAGAGTCAGTGCATCTGATGTGACTTGGTCTTTTTTAACAAAAGAATTTCTTTGGAAACATTTGATTCCCTTGAAAAAATCTGTTCCCAACCCACAAATGCTGAGTTCATTAATTTCTCAGGTGGCTGATGTTTCAGGGTTGCAATGCGTAATGCTTACAATGTAACCACTGTAAATCTGTTGTGTGACCTTTGCATGCAGTCATCTATGGTTTTCTTATTTTCACACATGTGGCCAAATTGTTGGTACCCCTCGGTTAATGAAAGAAAAACCCACAATGGTCACAGAAATAACTTGAATCTGACAAAAGTAATAATAAATAAAAATTCTATGAAAATTAAGCAATGAAAATCAGACATTGCTTTTGAACCGTGCTTTAACAGAATTATTTAAAAAAATCAACTCATGAAACAGGCCTGGATAAAAATGATGGTAGCCCTAGAAAAGACTGAAAATAATGTGCCCAGAGGGACATGTTCAATCAAGGTGTGCTTTCTAATCAGCTTCGCAGGTGTCTACAAACTTGTAGTCAGTCGGCCTATTTATAGGGTTACAAGTAGTCACTGTGCTGTTTGGTGACATGGTGTGTACCACACTAAACATGGACCAGAGGAAGCCAAGGAGAGAGTTGTCTCAGGAGATTAGAAAGAAAACTATAGACAAGCATGTTAAAGGTGAAGGCTACAAGACCATCTCCAAGCAGCTTGATGTTCCTGTGACTACAGTTGCACATATTATTCAGAAATTTAAGATCCATGGGACTGTAGCCAACCTGCCTGGAGGTTGGAGGAAAATTGATGACAAATGGAAGAGACAGATAATACGAATGGTAGCAAAAGAGCCCAGAACAACTTTTAAAGACATTGAAGGTGAACTCCAAGGTCAAGGTACATCAGTGTCAGATCGCACCATCCGTCGTTGTTTGAGCCAAAGTGGACTTCATGGGAGACAACCAAGGAGGACACCATTGTTGAAAACAAATCTTAAAAAACCAGACTGGAATTTGCCAAACTGCATGTTGACAAGCCACAAAGCTTCTGGGAGAATGTCCTATGGACAGACGATTTTTATTTTTTTTGGCCTTTGTGCCTTTTTTGTTTGATAGTGAAGTGAGAGAGAGGCAGGAAAGTGGGGGAGAAGAATGGGGGGCAGACATGTGGGAAAGGGCCATGAGCGAGGTTCAAACTCATGACCTCCACATCAGGACTGTAGTCCTGTACATAGGACGCCAGCTCAACCAGGTGAACTATAGCGGCACCCCAGAACTGGAACTTTTTAGCAAGGCATATCAACTCTATGTTCACAGACCCAAAAACGAAGAATATCAAGAAAAGAACACTGTCCCTACTATGAAACATGGAGGAGGCTCTGTTATGTTCTGGAGCTGCTTTGCTGCATCTGGCACAGGGTGTCTTGAATGTGTGCAGGGTACAATGAAATCTCAAGACTATCAAGGAATTCTAGAGAGAAATGTGCTGCCCAGTGTCAGAAAGCTTGGTCTCAGTCGCAGATCATGGGTCTTGCAACAGGATCATGACCCAAAACACAGCTAAAAACACCCAAGAATGGCAAAGAGGAACACATTGGACTATTCTGAAGTGGCCTTCTATGAGCCCTGATCTAGATCCTATTGAACATCTGTGGAAGGAGCTGAAACATGACATCTGGAGAAGGAATCCTTCAAACCTGAGACAACTGGAACAGTCTGATCATGAGGAGTGGGCCAAAATACCTGCTGAGAGGTGCAGAAGTCTCATTGACAGTTAGAGAAATCATTTGATTGCAGTGATTGTCTCAAAAGGTTGTACAACAAAATATTAAGTTAAGGGTACCATCATTTTTGTCAAGGCCTGTTTCATGAGTTTATTTTTTAAAATAATTCTGTTGAACCACGGTTCAAAAGCAATGTCTGATTTTAATTGTTTAATTTTCATAGAATTTTTATTTATTATTACTTTTGTCAGACTCAAGTTATTTCTGTGACCATTGGGGGGTTTTTCTTTCATTAACTGAGGGTACCAACAATTTTGTCCACGTGTGTATGTTTTGTTCTAGTGCAAGCTGTCAGCAAAGAAATGCCACACAACTGGTTTAAAATGAGTGGTAGACTGCAGGCTCTACTTCAGACTTCCATAGGTTCTTCAATTTGTTCCCAATGATTCTGGACCAACCTGACAAAATATGTTCATACATTTGTCGTTGTGTGCCTTTGTAGAATTGATGGTACCTCTCTGAATAGATATATTCAGTGTGTTATTGCTGCAGTGATAAAAGGCCACCATAGAGAAGAATAGTTTTTGCATCACTGAGGAACACAATCTTAAGACAACATGAGGTGCGATATAGCTTGAAATTACAGTCTATGCCTGCAACTATAACATACTGCTGACTTGTATGCAAAGTATGAGTAGCATAATTCAGTTTCGAAGACATTTAGAACTCTAAATGCGAGGGAGAGCATAGCTACTACTCATGATCTGAAGGAATTTTATTACACCCAGGGCATGATGTACTTCTCATATTTGACAGTGCTTGCTAAATGCTAGACAGGAACAGAATTATCACTCACTCAGAGTAGGAAGGAAGCCAGATGTGCAGATTGAAGTCCTAAAAGAGAAGAGTAAATCCTACAGAAGACATAAAATTTGATGGTTTGTTGTACTAACAATATACAAAATGCAGTTACTTAAGATACTTGGCTACCCTCAAAATCTAAAAATCTAAGCAAGATCTGGATCAAACCATGTCAGTCTAAAAAAAAAATCTTACAAGTTGCCTTTCATCTGTTTAGCATAGACTCATAGAACTCAAGAGTCTCATAAGGATGTGGTGTCCACTGTTACATTTGAAGTCAGAACTTCTATAATTTGAACACACAATGGTGTCACTAACACACATTGCTATATACGGTGAAGGTAAATTCTTACCTCGGTTTAACACTTTCAACATGAACTGTCCACATTGGTAATGTGTTAGTCTGTGTATTACCTTACATATTTTCTACAATCTGCCAAAATATCCTTGCAGTACTTCTAATGCTCACGAATTGACAAATAATTTCTGGTTTGTTTAACGCAAAAAAAAAAAAAAACAGAATGTAAAAGTAATGATTTGAAGCGAGTTATGTGCCAGACCTTTTCTTGATCAGGATAAAGTGTAAATTTACATTCTGTTGTTACTTATACTTTCGCACAGATTACACAACAAAGAAATTGTAACTCTTTAATTAATGGGCTTTAGAGGGGTATTTTGTTACCTTTGGACAGGTAAGGCCAGCTGTTTCCCCATGAGCTAAGCTAAGCGAGCTGGAACCTTGATAGATTATAACAAATACAGCAACATATCAGTAATCTCACATAACTGGGAAAGAGAGCAATTCATTTAAATTCAGCTGCTTTGCAAGGTAAGAGGAAAGACTAAAAATGTTTTGGGAAGCTCTCAAGTATTGCAAAACGGTCAAATGTTCTTGCTGGCTCATCAAAGAATAAAAACATTTGGTCTGTGTCATCCCTGCAGCCAGAGTGAGAGCTAACAGTGATTGCTCCATTGTGGGCTGAAACCAAAGGGCTAAATGTCTGTAGCTTCTTTTGCAACCCACTTCTCCTATTTTTAAATTTTTTTTTTATCATCGAAAAAATGTATTTGAACCTCATGACACACATCTGCAAACATGATGGGATGTAAGACTTTGTGAAATGACAGGTGCAGAGAAATTCCCTCATCGAGCCACTATGAGATTGATAAACCACAGGGAAAAGGAGCCTATCCCAGCTGACTCAGGACGAAGGCAGGGGACACCCTGGACAGGTCACCAATCTATCACAGGGCTACACTTAGAGACAGACAACCGAACACACGCACAGTCACACCTACGGACAATTTAGAATCACCAATTAACCTCAACATATTTTTGGACCTTGTGAGAGGAAGCCGGAGAACCCGGAGAGAACCCACGCTGCACAGGGAAAACACACAAACTCCACGCAGAAAGATCCCAGGTGTCCTCACCAGGATGCGAACCGACAACCTTCCTGCTGCAAGGCAACAGGGCTTGAACCCCTGACTTCTTTAATATTATTATTTTTGAGACAAATATCACATGCAACACAGGTCTGGGCCAGAACTGGGCCATGTGGTATGCACTTAAACATTACAGTACACTGAGACGCCACAGGGTCCCCTGAGTTTTTACATAGGACTTTATCGTCCAATAACGATTGACTGAGGCCTTTTGGTCATGTTTTAAAATGAGGTATGCTCTAGGAAGGCTCTACGTGAAACAGTAAAATCAAGACATCTTCATTTGATAGTGTTAAGTTATTTTAATAGGTTTTATTATTAATCCAGTTACCAGAGGAAAGAGAATGATATAAACAAGGTACTAGTAACATTGCATGTCCCTTGTATGCATTCTGTTCTGAAAATAGCAATTTCACATCCTTGTAACAGCAATGAGGCATCAATATCATCCATTCAGTTTTCTTCTGAACATGAATCACATGAAGCAGTCCTTTTACAAAAGTATACAACAGACATGTTGCTTGGAAATAAACAGTGACCTAAAGGTGGAGCCTGCAATTCTGAAAAAAGATGGTTGACATTGTAATAGTTACCATGCGACAGAAAACTGTTGTCTTGATCAGTCTGAACCACTTTGTTTCCCCTTGACAGACTGAGGGCTGTATACGAAAACTGGATGTTTTTAGTAAATACACTGAATGATGGCGGAGCTATCCATGGAATTTAACAAAAGCGTACTGGTTTACAATTGCATACTCCACCTTTAAGAGATATATTTACGCATTGTTTTAGCCAAAACTTTAAAACATTAACTAAAATCTGTGAAAAAGATTTCTGAAGTATTACGGTGAAAAATAATCCACAGCAGCATTCGTTTCAGTGACGTTAGGGGAAAACTATACAATTTGTAAATAGTGTGACTTTTATTATGCAAAATGTATTTTACCCCAACTAAAGTCATGGTCGCCGCTGGAACATGTTAACGTATCGTAAATGTAACAGAAATGTATGCACTACATGTTCACACTATATTAACAGCTTCAAGACATATAAAGGCCCCTTATCTCCAACACTGAGGGTTGTGAGATAAATGTCTGGCTATTGTGACTGAAAGCTAAATCAACAGACAGTGTCATTATGGAAGGTGACCACCGAGTTGAAACAGCTTGGATAAAGTAGAATAAGGGACAGTGTCACCGCTTGAAAAATAATGCTTAGCCATACAGCTTACATACATTTGTCAGGGTCACAATAACTTTAAACTGGCTGCACATGCCACATATGGTGGTTTAAGAAAAATATTCTACTGTTAAACTGTGAAAGGGCTTAAGAGGCAGTTTGCATTTTGGGGCTTCTGTATTAAACAATCTTACAGGCACTCAAAACTTCTGTGACCTGACATATCACATGGATCCCTTGAGGACATCTTGGTGTAAGAGTCAAAACTAAAGAATCCCTTTCTGTACCGTTGCTAAAAAAAAAACAAAAACCAATGGAAAAGAACAGTAACAAAAATAGATACACACAAATAGACAAATAGCACCACAGAAAACGTGGTCTTAGTTCTCAGTTTAGTGCGACTTTGGAGTGCTACACCTTCTGTGTGAGCGGCTGTGCTGACCGCCGGCCTGACTTCATGCGGCTACGTGCATACACTCGTAGGAAAAGTGCCAGGAAAACTACAGCAACGCCAAAGCCACCTACTAAGGTGACGGCATGACCATAAAGGAAACAAGAAAGGAGAATAGCAATGGCCTGCCGCAGGGTCATAATGATGGTGAAGACGGCAGCACCAAACTGGTTGATGGTGTAGAAAATGAAGAGCTGACCGCATGCCGAACACACAGACAGCAACACGGCATGAAAGGCAAACTCAGAGTGGCGCGTCATGAAGGCCAGAGAGTCGAAGAATGCACCCTGCTCGAGCAGCGAACCAACAGTGAAGAGGCAGGAAAACAGGTTAACCCCAAACATCATCTGCACGGATGACATCTTGTACTTAAACAGATTGTCCTGCCAGTTGGAGGTGAAGCTGTCGAAGACAATGTAGCCAATGAGGATGACAATCCCGCTGAAGGTGGTGACGGTGGATGGGTGCTTGCTGGCCGTACTGGAGAGCAGAAACATACTGACACCAACCGAGATCAGCACAGCAGTGAAATACTCCCAGTATTCGTAGCTTTTGTGGGAGACAATCTTGCCCATGAGCATGACAGGAATAACCTTGGAGGCCTTGGCCAGGACTTGAGTGGGGAAGCTGATGTACTTGAGGGCCTCATACTGGCACCAGCTGCTCAGGATGTTGGAGAGCGAAGCAAAAGAGTACTTGTACATGGGTGCTCCATGGCGTGGCTGCTTGAACAGGATGCACCAGAGGCCAGACACAGTCAGAGCCAAGATACGGTTCATGAAGACCAAGAACTGCGAGTCCTTGAATCTCTCACCCTCATCCTCTGTGGTCAGGGCTCCATAGGAACGAGTCATCACCCTCTCCTGCAGGACTCCCCAGGTCAGGTATGATACCTAAGAATAAGAAAACCAGCTTCAGTTTTGCAGATCTAGATCTTTTTAGATCAATATTACATTTAATTCTTCATATTTGAGCTCAGATTATTTTGTTATACAGTGTTACTGAAAAGCTAATACTGGGTTGTTCAGCTTTCTTTGGGAATTTTCTGCAGCAATGTAGGTTCAAACTTACACAGGTCTGTTTTATATATATATATATATATTGGGCTTTTGCCTTTATTTAGAGCAGTAGAGATAGACAGGAAAGGGGGGAGAAGAATGGGGAGAGACCTGCAACAAAGGGTCGTGAGCGGGACCCAAACCCACGACCGCTGCATCGGGGAACTATAGCCCCTGTTCATGGGTCGCTCGCTCAACTAGGTGAGCTTTGGGGTCTCAGGTCTGTTTTAATACAATACTCATGTAACATTTGTGCTTGGAGAGGGTTGAGTGAGGGGGACACTGTACAAAATTCACACAGTCTTAACCAACCAGTGTAAAAAAACCAGTAATGCATTACTTACTACAGGTCAAATGAGTAACCACATTACTTTAAAACTTACTGAACAGCAAAAGTAATGCTTTTTATTACTATTACATTTCCTTTCATTAATTACTCCTGCTCTGTCAGGTTTCTTTAAACAAGTACAAATCTGCCACACTCCCACGTTGCACTTTGTATTTAACGCATTCCGAAACAAAAAACAAAACATTGTGGTTTAAAAAGCAGAGAGTCTGGATTGATTTACTGACCAGCAGCACGTTCCTTAACCTCTGTAACTGCACACTAATCTCCTAAAGTCCCAATTTTAGCAACACAGTTCATGCACCTTTCAAGTTTAAGTAAATACAGTTGATTCCTGAATGCACACAACCTTTGGCTAAGATTAGCAAGTCACCTCACAGCACTTTTTCTTAAAATAATTCCCTACTCTACTTTAATCCCATAGGTACGTTTGTTGCATGCTGCCTTAGTGTGGGTGCTGTGTACTTGGCTTACTTGGGCTGCTGAAGCCACATATTAGCTTCAGCTGAACTTTAAAATGCATTTTTCACCAGAACAAGAACTGTGAACTTTGTCCCCAATTTCTTACAATGTAATCACTCTAGACAGGGTATATTTAGTATTGACAGTGAGAATTATTACAGGAACTAGCGATTATTTTAACATACATACACCAATTTTTGATTTTTCATTGACTTAAGAGCACTAGAAGAAGCTGTAAAAACAATACTGACAAACAGTTGCCTGTTTACATGTCATTATTTGTGAAAGTGATATGCAATCAATGACTGTAAGCGGTGGAAGGGTCCCACACCTGAAGTCCAGCGGCACAAAAGACTAACTTGATAGCCTGTCTGACTGATGAGCCAGAATCACCCTCATTTCTGCTTCCAATGGACACATCTTCCGACAGACCAGTCTTGGCCTCACCCCCAAACACACAGGTCTTTATGACAGGATAACAAATCCCACTACCTGAAAGAAAGGGAAACATAAAAAGATATATGAACTTGGGGTTAGGGGGGTGACTCAGGTCAAAGGCAGGGGACACCCTGGTCAGGTCACCAGTCTATCACAGCACTACACTGAGAGACAGACAACCAAGCACACTCACATTCACACCTATGGACAATTTAGAATCACCAATTAACCTCAACATGTTTTTGGACTGTGGGAGGAAGCTGGAGAACCCAGAGAGAACCCACACCCCCATGGTCCGGGACGTGAACAGGGGATCTTCTAGCTGTGAGGTGACAGTGCTAACCACCGACCCACCTTGCAGCCCTCATTAACTATCATGCATTTCAAAACTTGATAGCAGTATCTCACAAGCCCACACCTGTTTCTATGTAATTGGTACGTTTGAAGTAGCTAATGAGGAGGTAGCCAGGGATGATGATGGTGGAGTATCCCAGCATGTTGATGAGGAATCGGAAGAGCCAGACATCGTGCCAGCCGTCCAGCAGTGAAGACTCTTCTGCAGTCACAGTGGAAGGGAAGAGAAGCAACACAAGTTGCCAAACCCTACATGGTAAAACAATACAGTACGTCAGAAAAAGCATAGCTCTAAATACAGTAACATACAACGAGCCACAACATTAAAACCACTGAGGGATGTAGTGAATAAACTGCAGCTTTCAATGTGTGGGATACATTAAGCAGCAAGTGAACAGTCAGTCTATGAAGTTGTTATGTTGGAAGCAGGAAAAATGTGCAGTGCAAGGATCTAAGCAACTGGGACAAGGACCAAATTGTGATGTCTAAATGACTGTGTCAAAGCATCTTCAAAACGACAGGTTTTGTGGAGTGTTCCCGGTATGCAGCGGTTAGTACTTACAAAAATGATGCAAAGAGGGACAATTGGTGACCCAGTAACAGCATCAACTTGCTGGTGTGTGTGGGAACCAAAGGCTGACTTGTGGGTCTAATCCCATAGATGGCCTACTGTAGCACAAATTACTGAACCCTGTCTACCTCTGGAAGTGCTTCCAATGGACACATGACAGTACTGGACTGACACTGACCTTTGAACAATAGACTAAGCTGGTTTGATGAATCATGTTTTCTTCTACATCACGTAGACAGCTTGGTGTATGTGCACGTGTACTTAGGGATGAGATGGCAGCAGGATGCACTTTGGGAAAAAGGTGAGCTGGTGGAGGCAGTGTCATGCTCTCCACAATGTTCTGCTGGGAAACCTTAGGTCCTGGCATTCATGTGGATGTTACTTTGACACCTACCTAAACATTGTTGTAGACCATGTACACTCCTTTATGGAACGTACATTGTATGGACCATCACATCTTTAACGTTATCTCATCTAGACACATAGAGCAACATGTACCATCTATAACACAATGACCAAAACCACTACAAACTGAAACGTGAATTGTTTATTTCCTGAACTATTGACAAAATAGCTTAACAGCTACCACAATGACATATAATGCCTCAAATTAAAAATAATTTAAATATTTACCTGATAATTAAAGCCATCAAATGAGATAATAAAGTCACTGAAAACTATAAAAAAAAATGTGTCATTTTCACAACTTTTTAAAAAAAAATTTAAGCAATGGAGTAATGCAACATCTTTAGATTTTTTTAATTTTTCAAATTGATATGAACACTTCCCCTATGAAAGGTTCCAAAGAAATCAACAAGATCATCTCTGAAAAAAATGCTGTTAAAATGTCCTAAAAAGTGAATTTTCCAGCTCTGAAGTTAATTTTAGGAAGACCTGTGGCCGTCAGTTTTTCTATGCAGCACCAAATGACGTTTTGATATGACAAAACTAAGTTGTTTCTACCCACAGCAAAAAAAAAAAAGGTTAGAATTGAGTAGACATTAGTGGAGATGTTATTTTTTGAAAATTGAAGACTTTGCAATTTGATGATAATGTATAGATTTTAAAAAAAAAAGGTTAATTAAAATAATCTGCATAAACTACTGACAAGATTACTAGTACCAACTTTTTATTGAGGTTTCTTAGATATTCAGTTTAAAAATCAGCAAAATCCTGTTGCAAAAAAAACATGACATGAACTGGGAAAAGTTCTAAATCCTGGTGAATTGGCATGGAATGACCAAAATATACTGCAAATAATGTAATTAGAGCAACCACACAATAATTATTTATATCAGCTTCTAAACACATCAAAACAACATTTTTCAAAACTTCAGTTTTCATATCAAGGCTGATAATAAATATCAACTGGGTGACAATATGAAAGCAAAACTATGTTTATGTATGATGATGTCTGAATTGATTAAAAAGCAAAAGTAAATATAGATAATCTGTTGACACTTTTGATCCACTTCATGATATTTTCGAACTCATCATACTGATAGGATACATTTCAAACTAAATTAATTTATTATGCATGCACTTGTAATTTACTTTCAGGCTTCTTTAATAACTTTCTTGATTGGACTGGAAAATGAAAGGTGTTGGTTTAGGGAGAAAGTTTGCTATGATGCTAAAAATGATGGCATGAGTTAAAGGAAAGTCCTGGAATCCAGTACAGGGTTTATAAAGTTGGGGTATTAGTAACAGACAGGTTTTAAAAATAAAAAATAATGTATAGGAAGCTGAGCCTATTCAAACTTTTTGCCCTAATTTGAGTTAAATATTAAAAACGCAGGTACTACACTTCCCATAATGCAGCTTGGTAACATCTTTCATTGGACCCTTTCCTTCCTGACAAACGTCTACATGTTTGTAACTGTGCCTCCTTTGTAGGGCAGGCTTCCTTTCACAAATTGCCTGAGCTGTAACATTATAACCATGATTACATGACCTGGGTTATTTGCCAGCAAACTTCCATCAGAGGCACAAAATTCACTTTTTGTAGCATTGAGGATATGTTACTGAGTCAGGTAGAACAGCCATAACCTATCACACCAGCCATGAGAAAGTTAGACAAGCTTTATCGCCCTTCACCACAACCAGCTTAAATAACTGATGACTGAGGCCCACCTGTGGTGAAACCCAAGCCTCCTATGAAAAGGTGTGCTCCTTGCTGTCGTGGCACCAAGTGTGTATCGTATATAAAGTAAGGCTGGGTCTCCTCCCAGGGGGCCTGTGAGCCTGACTAACACAGAGCCTCTTTGTGTGGGACTCCACTGTGCCCTGGTCAGCCAGTAGCTCACTGCAGCAAGACCTGGGCTTTAAACAAGAAGCTTATTACTTGGAGGCATGCACGGCTGGGCTGCCAACCCATAGGCTGCTGCACCACAGACACAAGAGCAAGTCCCTCCAAAATGAATGCTTGTCATCAGGGTCCTGCGTAGATTTATAACACCCTATAATATGCACTGAGATGAGGGTAACAGCCCTTTCTGACAAAAATTTAACTATGACTCCCCAGTTGCTGGAGGGAGTGGTCTGAA